ACTAAGGAGAACTGCAAGGAGTAATGTGGCTCCGCAGAGAGGGAAAGTATCTATAGCGCAGTGGTTAGCGTGAGGGATTTGCAATATCGACATCGGTGGTTCGAGTCCCCGCGGTTGCATCAGTTTTGCAATTTTGCTCTACTGCTCAGGGATCTTAAAAATTTTGCTGGTTTGCCATTTTTCGCTAGGAAAATTCACTTTTGCAACAAAAATCCCGCAAAAAGGTGTAGCATCGAATTATAAACATTTTTACGAGTTTATCTCTTCTACAGCGAATTCGACTATAATTTCCAGCCTATATTTACGTCTTCCATGTTTTTTCACCAGTAGACAAATCAATAATTGATTTTTCTCATTATAGGTCTTTTCCTCTGTGCGTGATGGCTTCTACACGGAAGTGCGACGGATACGTCGAGCGTCCAACTCATTTTCGATTGGCTCAAACAGCAGCACGAGAAGAAAGAAGATCTCGGAGGGTGAAGCTCATAGTAGAGGTACGGCACTTGTTCATCATTTCTTGAAAATGATTTTTAAAAAAGTCAAAAAGCCTGCGAGTTTTTGTCAGCGTTTATAGTCTGCTTCAACAATTTGTGTGATCAGCCGCGCGCGTACGAAGCATTTTCAAGTATTTTCTTTCTTCGCTTATTTAGTGCGCGCCATGACTCTCACAAAGTCGCCTGTAAACAGTTCTAAAAGGAGCTACATCAGGGAGTACCGTAGTCCTCGCGCGCGACTGAGACGCGGCTGCAGAAGAAGAGAAAGGCGCTATTTGGAGTAAAAACACTCACTCAGTCAAGCGAGAATTAAAATGATTGAAGTGAGCCAGATTGAGTTTTTTCTGTAGTGAAAGAAAAGCAGTCCAGCTGTAAAAAAATCGCACTGCCGCGTTGCAACCGCTGCGCGACCGCGTCGCAACCGCACGCCTGCCATGCGGCGCGTGATTTTCGCCGAATTTTCTCTATGTTTAACCCCCTTTAACGCCCAAAGACATTTGGAAAACTCTTTTTTCTGCTTTTATCAGTCTTCCATATAAACCTATTTTTTGAATTCCAGGTGGATCCCCGCGCACATCTTTCTCTCGATCCGGCTCTCCTCGATCTGGTTCGCCTGAATCAGGCGATGTTATGTTCGAGGAATATGCCGGTGATGTATTCCTGAAACCGCCGACGAACATGCTCACAGCACGATCATACTGAAGACGCTATTCGCCGTGTCCTCACTTTCGCGCCCACTATAAACGCAGCGTGCGCTATCATGGTTGGCTTGCCTCAGGGATTCGATCATTCACTCTGATCTAATCATTTATTTGTGTAGAGAGGTTGCAGTACTATACTATTTAACCACATATTTCCCTGCTTTTTTTTCTTATTTATCCTCAAAATTGACTCGCAGAAGCATATCCTTCTATTGTCGTGATCGTGAATGAACGAAATTCCAATCTGCGATCACGAAAATTCCGAATTTTCTATTTTCCGATTTTCCGCTTCTATGATCTTTCCGCGCTCATTTTGTTGCTGACCCTGAATCTGTTATGAAATTCTGCTTTCTGTTGATGCCTACATAAGAAAAACTGAGCCGCTATACTTCATGTCGAGTATAAACGCCTCAGCGATACCATGCTTGTCGCCAGGCCAATACTCCCTGTTATCATACAAAACGTACGCCTACTACTCTGTCACTGCTTCATATGTCCTACCGCACCTCGATCAATACGTATATCCAACACCTGAATATCGATCGATATCGTTCTAGATATCTCCAAAGTGTTATTATACATATTATTTATGTTTATCAGCATACAATTGTTGCCTTTTGTATAACTGGTGTAAGACAGAGCAACTTATTCATAGTGTCTTTACTTCTATTGATTACTGAAAATTAAATAGTCTATAGTCGCTTTCTAGTATTGCTATCTCCTTCGAAAATAATGCTCTTCTTCGGATTTTATCGATTTTGTTGTCACCTACCCAGATTCTTTCGTTTTTTAAATTATTGTTTTGTACATAAGTCAAGATGAGTAAATTTGCTTGGAAGTCATGTCTTCGATGTAACCTAGGAGATTTTATAGACAAGGGCGTAACGGGGAAATGCATTTGGATTCATGCCAAAATCAGCGCACTGCGATGCATTAAAGGTCCAGTGACGTCGATAAGACGTCAAAATTTT